TACAAAAATGAGTGGGCTTTGAGAAGGGTAGCTAGTATTTCTACAATATTGGATACTTTTCATTAAAAACAAGGAAGCAGTTGCAGTATTAAAAGACATCCGTGCCCATGACAACTCAAGAGATCCTGGCCTGACGTGGCACACACAACAGACTTCATATTCTGAACTGCAGAGAAAAGGATGCGCATACACACACCTCTGAGATCAGAATAATTAAAATAATCCTACTTAGAAGCACACAAGCTGGCCTCTTGTAACATCAGTAGCATTAAGGTCTCCTTTGATTTAAAATGACACCTGATTCACATATGCCCAATGTCTTTTGTTTTTAAACAAATGCCGGCCAGGAGACACCCATCTTCATTTTTGTGTCTACATGGGTAGTTCTTCAAACAGATCCAATCAAAGTTCATGGGCTCAAAGAAGAGGAAGGCAGAATGTGCTATGTAGAGTGAAATAGAATTTAGATAATCTGGTGTTTTAATAACTAGAAGTGTGTACATGTGAATAGATCATTTGTCCCAATATACATCATCAAGCAGTAAGTAGAGTGCAAGATAAGGGAAACCGAAGTTTGAAGTGCTTGGATGGGCAGTTGCTTGCCAAGTCTCTGCTTTTGTTTAGGAAGTGGAAGATGATATGGGGAGGAGGTACGGGGAAGATATGAAATGTCACCAAATAAATGTATTTCATTTGCTTAATTAATGGTGTGATTTCTTTGTCTCTGCATAAGGTAATAGAACATTCATATTTCCTTTATTTCAGTTTGAAGACCCCTTCAAATAACGGACTGTTAAACTCTGCAAAGTGGCGCTTGCAAAAAAAAAAGTTTTCAAAATTCTCTTTACAATTAATATACTTGAAAAATTATGAAGAAAAAGAGAATGAGCAAAAAAAGTAATTGAAGTTTTTAAAAATCAGCTTTTAAGTCAGTTTTTAAAAAATCAAAAGTGGAACCAGCTCTTAATATACCTTTTCTTCTCCCTAAATCCAACAATAAACAACTTCAAATGGCAAACATTTTTCTTACTACGCAAAAATTCATACTACTTTTTCATATCCTGCATTTCATTTCATTTCATTTCATTTTGATGTTAGTCTTCTATTTTTATTTACTTAGTAAAACCATTTAATGTCTGTTAACCTAACTAGATCTATATCTTACAGCATTATCACGGTTCTGTCCACTTATCTACATGCTTTTACAACCACCTTTTCTATTACCTTCTCAACTACATATGCTAGTCATATACTTGTTAAATAATCAACACTCACAAATGGATGAATAATTCAAGTTTCAAAGTAACAGTTAAACAGCTCAAGAAAAACCTGTATTTACATCCTTTCCTGTCAAGTTTAAAAACTTTCTTTTCTAGGGAATGATAGTCCCTCCAGCTTTATCTAGCAGCACCTCGGGGTCCCTTTGTCCTCAGCATTGGAAATGCACATAGACTTCATGGCATGCCCTTCCTTTAGAAGATATTACCACACGTGCTCTAAGACTCTTAAAAATACTTCCTTCTCTCAGGTTTTAGGAGATTAATCAATCTTCCCAGTCTATTAAGGAAGAATCCCTTGTTTTTTACTTTGTACATTTTGATATAGTTTGAATTTGCCATAGTTTAATGCTATTTTCAAGAACATGACTGAAGAAATTGCTCAGTCTAACTGTGATATTAACATAAGTAACAGATGTCCCACTGTCCGTGCACCTCTCTGCAATGCACGTGCAGCAATGCACGGTCTGAGGTCTTGCATCTTTTACAGAGTATCTGTTTTCAGCTGTCTAAGAACTACTTCACTAACAGTTAACTATGCCGTTTTTCCATGTCTGAAAGTAGGATTCCCCAAGTGAGACATAATCTACAAAATGTGTTGATTTAAAAAGCACAGACAGTATCATTTTAATACCAATTTTCTTCAGATTTGCAGAGTCGGTTTTGCATATGTCCGCTGGTAAAAGGAGTTTCTGAAATCTGATAATCTGAATCACTTAGTAGGCTTTAATAAATTTTTTTTTAATTTCTGCTTAGCTAAAACATTTCTCTGGAACATATAGGGCTGATTTTTAAAATTCTTTCTTATACATTTCAAATATATTTTCTTAGGGACAAAACAGAGAAAAAAATTAAGTATGTGCTATAAAAATCATTCAAGTGAAATCTTAAGTGTAGTACCTAAGGAGTATTTGAAGTTATTTTGGGTTAGACTTGCAGTCAGTCACTTCCAGTTATCAACAGAGGGAAACATGACCATACAAAGCGTTCTATTCTTAGAATAAAGGAGACCACATTCACCAAATATTTCTAATTGTGTTTCTTGCTTCTTCTAAAATAGATGATTTTTAAATTTTCATACCCAAGTATTCACCATATAGATATTGTAAAGAAGAAGAAAAGGTCAAGTTTTAGGATTCAAAAAAGGTACTATATGTGACAAATTAGGCAGAATGACCTAGAAGATAGTAATTATAAAATACCAATTTTTCATAATTACTGATGTGAGGCTATCTTTCTGTGGTGACTTCTCTGAATAAGTGGACGTCTTTCCGCCGTTTGATTATGGCCTCTGAAGTGTTCGACCAGGGGAGCGCATGACCGACTGAACTTCACTGGGAAGTACCTTACCAATCTTGGCTGTTCCAGCTCCCTCTTTCAGCTTGCCTCACTTCTCATAGTTTAGGGGGAGACCTTTTCCAATATTTCCAAGGTTCTGGACTAAAGACCAAAATCTGCTTTTGAGTGAATGAAAATATTAGAATCCAATTATCAAGCCTTGTGCTTTTATTTTGAACTAGTTTATCTGTGAATTAAAAAAAATACTGAAACTATTCTATTTGTCAACTTTAGTAATTTAAAATGTTTAATTAATGTTCCAAATGAGTTCACAGGAGATCTCTTGCCAAACAACTGATTTTATGAGAGCTACTCACAAATTATTCTCTGTAATCTGATTCTAGAAACTGACGGAGGAATTAAAATATTATTCCAAGTAAGTCTCCTACATTGTAAAACTTTGACGTCAAGGATCCAGGCATTATACAGTCTTTCCAATAGACTCTAATAAATGTTGTTTGAATGAACAAGCGAGCTGGGTGAATGGATCTTTATTTTTTTTTAAGATAGACAAAAGCTAGTCTTTTGTCCTTGAATTTTTTTCCCTTTAAATTCTCTGTTTCACCATCGAAATGTTAAATTTTTCATTTAGGTTACAGACCCTAATTTGACCCCAATACTTTAACGTGAGAAAGAAACATTTTTAAAAATCCAACGACTTAAAGAGAAAAAAAGAGACATATCTAATTATGCTAATTGCTAGTTTGAAGTTCCCTTCTACTGCAGAGGCGTCCCTGTCATCAGAACCCATCATTCACTTTTATCTCAGTGTGTATTATTTCACAAAGATACAGAATAAGATGGTCTAGAACTATGGTGCTGTATTTTAAAACAAAATGAATTATACAACGCATCAAAAGATTAGTATGTTTGATATTAAAATATGCATGAGAAGTTTCTTCATGTTTCATGTTTATTTACAGTTGAAGACCCAATGAATGACCTAACTATGAGCTGTGAATGTTTACGTCTTTTTATTACTATTATACCAATTATGTGCAAAGAGTTATCTTCTACTTAGTATAAACAGAGTCCTTGTACTACAAATTCCATGGAATTCAATCCAGTTCTTACTTGTGTCCGGTCATATGGAGGATACAAACTGAACAACTTTCCTTGAGTAGCAAATGTGATGTCACATGTAGATAATGTGCTGGCTCTCTCCCCACCATCCCTGGATACTATTCCAAAGTCCTAATTTTCTTGATTTGGTATTTCACAGTCTTATCTTTATCAGAGTGCTATTTGAAAAAAAAAAATGTACTTAAATTAATTAATTTGCTGGTTGCTTCCATATTGCTTCCAAAATGGAGTTCATAAAGAGAACAAATAAAACTATAGTTTAAGTGCAATCTACATTTCTGAGTATCTACCAGGTAGACATACCCAATCCAGTGTGTTCTTCTGGTTCAATGGGTTATGCCATTGAACCACCCCTGAAAGTGTCAGTAGTCTTTATGAACCACAAGGAACTGTCTCTTTAGTTTCCCTTATAATCTTAAGATTACCAACTGCTTATCAAGTTCTATTCTGTTTATGAGAGATGAAAAAAAATACTAAAAAATAAAACAATTGGGATGAGTATGTATTCAATAGTCTAAAGCATGAAAGCAAGATTTTATGTTGGATTTAACTATATCTTGGCCTCTCCTTTTAAAGAGTATGTTTATAACACTGGCTTTTTTCATATGACAGTATTTTTTATTTAAATTCTGTCAATTTCTATCAACACAGAAGCAGCTTTGGTGAAGAAAAAAAAAATCTTTGTAACTCAAAGTTAAAGCCAAGACTAGTGGAGGAACTAATACAAATTGACAGGACAAAGAAAAAAAGAATTCTCCAAACTTAATTGCTAGGAAGGGATTCCTTTAATGTAAATTCAAAAAACATGAAAGCTCTTGAGTTGGCCAGTCTTACTCGCCTGGGCAAAAATTGTTGGAGAAAGATATAGGATTCCCACTCTCAGTTACTATCGTATGTGGTAGCAAAGGTTGTCCTTTCATTCTAATGGAAACTTAACAGTGATTCCCAGGGATACTAAATATGCACATATTAGTTCCTGAGGCTAGGAATAGAAACAATAAATCTTTCACCTAAAAAAAAAAAAGAAAGAAAAGAAACAAAAATTAAAAACTACTTTGACAGCAGGTAGCGTTGCCTTAAGTTTGCTGGTCCTTCTACTCTGTTTCATTCTCCTGGCAAACTCATGCAGAGAAATGAAGAAACAGTGTGGTTCCTCCTGTCTTTCTCCTTTAGCTCTTCCTTCTAAAGTTCAAGTTAGATAAGCACAAAACAACCATTGCATTGCTAGATCTTCCATGGGGAAGTGTCAAAACTACTGGCCTTAGGTAGAAGGAAGACCACAAGAGAAAGAGAGGGGTCAAAGGAGATTGGAGTGGGTGTGTCTCACCATCTAAAAGTAACTGCTGAGCTTACACCACAGTGTTTCGGTGTCTGTAGGGTGGCGGAGGCAGCACAGTGCCTGGCTTCAGGGAGAACTCAGAGAGGTATTCAGGATTCTCTGCCACCATGGGCCGGATGCGTCCATTCTGCTTATAAAAATATTTTGTGCTGTACTCCTGCAGGTAGTCTGGGTGATGAAGGGTGCTCCGAGGTGGCAGGCTGTGGTTCCAGTAGTCAGGGTTGTCGAAAGCTTTCTTGGCCTTCTCTGGCACAGACAGTATGTTGTTCTTCAGGTACTCGGCATTCCCCAAGGCATTGGCAAAGGTGTTGAGGTACAGTGGCTCGTTCACATACTCATCTTCTGCCTTGGGTGGACCGCTGGAAGCACTGTGGTATTCAGGATTATCCAAAACTTGAAGGTCGCTGTTTTTCCTCCGAGACACGAAGGGATTCTCTTCCACAGGGTTCAAGTATTCTGTAGAAGTTAAAAAAAAAAAATAAACAAAAGCCGTTTATTAAATCCTTTCCTGAAAATGTTAATCAGACAATGTTTACACAGACAGTTTAATCTCTTTTCTTCCCCTCTAGGACATTCAAAGCCAAAGATAGATCTGAAATAATTCTCAGAAATTTTATAGATTAGCATGTTGTTGTTGTTGATATGTGGCAGTAAGGCAGAGCAGACCCAAGCTAACCCTCCAGTAGGTTTTCAGAGGCTGTAAATCTCATGGAAGGAGATTACTCATCTTCTGTGGTGGAGAAGTGCTAGTGGATTTCAACTACAAGAGTCTGGGTTTGGCAGTGCAGTAGTCACATGAAAAAGAGGAAGTCAAACAAAGTGCTACTGACAAGCTAGGTATCAGGAAGGCCAGAATCAGTTCCTGTCTCCTAGATTTCTCATTCTCTCCTTTAAAGTGCATTTTTTCTTTCTTACGCACTTGCTGTGCAGGGTCAAGGACTGCAGCCTTCAAAATGGACTGAGGCTCAATGTCAAGAAGACAAAGATTCTTGCCACTGGGCCAACTGGCAGCATCATTATGGATGGTGAAGAGATTGAGATTGTTAACAGCTTTAGTTTGCTTGGCTCCACAATGAACAGCACCAGCAGCCAGGAAATTAAAAGATGTATTGTGATGGGAAGGTCTGCTGTTAAGGACCTTTCCAGAGTACTAAAGAGCAATGGTGTCACTCTGGAGACTAAGATGTGCTTGATACAGGCCATGGTATTTAAAATCACTTGCTATGCATCAGAGGAGAATCGAAGCCTTTGCGGTGCTGGAGAATAGTATTGAATGTACCATGGACTGCTAAGAAAATGAACAGGTTCATCCTGGAAAGGGTTAAAACAGGCTGCTCCTTGGAGGCAAGGATTCTGAGGCTTCATCTGACATACTTTGGACATGTAGCAAGAAGGGACTGGTCCTTGGAGAGGGATGTCATGCTTGGGAGGATGGAAGGACAGCACAGGAGGGGAAGATCCTCTATGAGGTGGATTGATTCAGTGACTGGGGTAATCAGGTTAGTTGTGTCAGAGACAATGAGACTGGCACAGAACAGAGCAAGGTTTAGGGCTGCTGTACACAGGGTTGCTATGAGTCTCAAGTAACTCGATGGCACATAACAATAAACAACATATTTGGAAATCAGCTCTTTAAATGTTTCTATTTCTTAGAGGTCAATAACTTATGCTGGAAGATAAAGATTGACTATCAGGGTTAAATAGTCTTTGAATATGTATAGATTAGGGAGCTCTGGTGGCTAATGGTATCGAATTGTGTTACCAACCTAAAGACACATGGATGGAATCTACCAACTGCTCCTGGGAGAGAGACGGGCAGTCTCCTCCCATACAATACAGCCTCTGAAAATCTGCTGGAGGATTAGCTCTGAGTTGATTCTGACTCAGTGGAACATAAGGACAACATCATAGAGAAATGAATAATTTTAGAAAAGATGGTAGAAAGCCTAATTGTCTATAATTTAACATCATGCCATGAGAAGTTGCATTTAATTCTGCAAGTTTTCTGTAAGGCTTCCAAGTGCACTGTTGTTACTTGTACAGGGGGAAAAATGAGTTCAGAGTAAAATCTTCAAGCTATGAATGATATTTTCAATTGTTTCCTATGATTCACAAAGTTGAACAATGCATAAATAAGACTGAAGAACAAGTGACGCCTTTGCATTGTGGTGTTAAGAGAGTACTGAATATACCACGGACTTCTGAAAAAACAAACAAACAAATTGGTCTTGGAGGAAGTACAAGCAAAACGGTCCTTAGAGGCAAGGATGGTAACACATCGTCTCCCATACTCTGAGCATGTTGTCAGGAGGGGTAAGTGAAAAAAGAGGAAGATCCTCACCAAGAGAGTCTGACACAGTGACTGAAACCATGAACTTGAGCATGATCAAGAGGGTGAGGATGGCATGAGAGAAAGCAAGGCTCCAATCTGTTACTCAGCGTCCATCATAGTCAACTCAAGGGCTCCTAACACCACCAACAACAGGAACACAGGGTTGGAAACCTCTGGGGCAAAAAAACTCAACTAATAAAACAAACCCAATGATTCTGAAGATGTCTCTAGTTGGCTTGCTTGGCAATATGTATCCTTGGAAAGGAAATACAATTATATACATCATATGCAGCTCCCCAGGAGAAAGATGGGCAATCTCCTCTGTGATTAAAAGACCTTCAAAAACTCTTCTTCTTGTCATTAGCCCACCAGAATAGTTCTTATTTTTCTAGCTTTGCTGTTGTGTTGTTGTGCACCACTGAGTTGTGGTTGTTGCGTTCCATCAAAAACCCACTGAATATCAACGGCACTCAGGTCCCTCAATAGTAGTGAGTGAGTGAGATCTGTATTGATGTCAGTGGACAGACACCTGGTGACACAATGGCTAAGAGTTCAGCTTCCAAGCAAAAGATAGGCAGGTCATACCCTCCAGCTCATCAGCAGGAGAAAACACAGAGTTATCGGCTCTAGGACAGATTACAACCCAGGAAACCGTGTACAGCAGCTTTCCTTGGGCCGAAAGGATGTCTGTGAGTTGGAATGCACACGATGACACACAGTAAAAAGAGTGAGGTGAGTAAAACAGCCACCACTTTGTATAGTTCAACCTAATAAATAAGGCCAGCAAGGGTACTGACCTAGAATTTTAAAAGCACTGCTGTTAGTTAATACTTTTATTCTCAAGGTTAACTAGCTCCTTTTATGTGATAATGTGTATACCCTTCTCTTGTCCTCTATTTTACTATGAGCACAAAAACGAGACTCTGAATTGGTCCTATTTTGGAGATGATAAGATTCCACCACTTTGAAACAGCTCGAAGTTATTATCCCCTGGATATGGCCATACTTGATACAGTTAAATATTTAGTGTCATATGTTAGTAATGACTTGGAAGCAGAAGTGGCATCCACTTCCTAAATAACTTGCCTCTGGAAACTCTATGATAAATGTCGATGATTTTAGAGGGACTTCAGGCCTTTTGTACATGAGGTCACTAGGTGCTCAACTCAAAGGCAATCAACAACAACAACAATTGGTAATAACAGTAAATGCAGTAAAGATAGTAATGACTGCTCCATCACGTTGGGTAATTTTAAAGGCATTCTCATATCTTCACCACACTCTGAGAAGGGAAGCATGTTATGTGTATTGTTGTGCTATGCACTACAGAGCTGGAAATGACCAATAACTGACCGTCTGATGGGTTTTCAGAGACAGTTAATCACATAGGAGGACAATATGCATCCTTCTCCCACTGAGCAGCTGGTGAGCTTGAACTACATGAGTTGGGGATTACAGCTCAGCTTCTTGTCATTAGACCACCAGAGTAGGCTTTGCTGTTGTGTTGTTGTGTACCATTGAGTTGTGGTTGTTGTACTTCATCAAGTAAGAACTAACTCACAGCTGATCCTTCAGCAGGTTTTCAGAGGCAGTAAACTGCAAAGAAGAAGACTGCCCTTTCTTATCCCATGGAGAAAAGTTGGTAGATTTGAACCACATGCCTTCGGGATTACAGTACAGCTTCTTACCACTAGGTCACTTCTGAATTAAAAGCATAGGAATTCTACCTAAATTTCTATACTGTTTGATGATTAAGCTAGTGCATAGAAAGCACTGAGTCTTTTAACTTCTCAGATATAATGTCTGGGGGTACTCTCTGAAGAGTAACTTGCCTCTCTTATTCCTTATATAACTTTTTTCTCAATACATCATATGTAGTTAGTGTTCTGAGGTCCACTTGTATAGAAAATCAGTTAGAGATGGAGAAATAAACTTCACTACTTGATTGAGTAGATACTATCCCCCCTGGAGGATTCTGCTCCATTCAGAAGAGATCTGCCAAATCTTATCACAATTTACATTCCTGCCACTACTGAGCTCCTTCACTTAATACTCACTTACACACAATCTTGTTATCTGACATTTAGATCTAAGTAAAAATAAAATACCTACACCCTGATCATTTTGTGCATTTGTAGTGCACATCTGGCAGTCACAGATGCTGAGGTGTGAGGAGTAAACAATGCTAACAGTGATAGTTAAGGTGACATGTCAGCTTCACTCAGCTTTGAATCTCAGTTAAGTAATCATATAATATGGCAGTTAGAGAATTATCTAGTCATCTTCCACTTTGTGACCTGCCATGGCCATCCTCTATTTTCACATAACATTGGTTTGTTGTCTTGGAATATAACCACAGCATTAAGGAGGAAATGGGTGCATAGCTAAATGACTCTTCAGTGCTTTTAAACTTTTATACTCATCTGCTTTTTAGTTCTGTCAAATAAATCCCAACATAGAAGCTCACTATATGCCTAAGTAGAACCTACCCAGAGAGTTTCATTGCTAATTATTGCAATGTTTTGGAATAACAATGTTTTGGAATAAGGCAGTAAATGGGTTTTATTTGTTAATCTTTATGATAGCTAAATGGGTTTTATTTGTTAATCTTTATGATAGCTGCTCCCCAGGTCTCCTCCCCCCACCCCCCCGCTTTGTATCTGCAGGGGTTTCAAACCCCTGACTATTCAGTTAGTAGCTAAGTGCATAACAATTTTGTCACTCAATTCCTAGTTTTCTCCCACAAAGCAACTGGTGGGTTTGAGCCACCGGTCAGCACAACGCTTTACCAGTGAGCCCTCAGAGTGCCTTCCTATTTTAATACTATTGGGTACTTTGGAGTCAGAGCCGACCCATAGCCGACCCTCTAGTGGGTTTTCAGAGGTAGTAAATCCCACAGGTGGAGACTGTCCACCCTTTTCCCTATTAAATTTTAATGTAATTTATATCTGTAACGAAACCAAAACCAAACTTAGTGCCATTGAGTTGATTCTGACTTCATGGAATTGCTCCAAGTTCCCAAAGGTTTAAATCTTTATGGGAGGAGACGGTCTATTTTTTTTTTTTAATTTGTATTTATAATTAGTCAGCTGGCCTCAGTTTAGATGATCCAAATTTTGTTGGCAATATGTAAAACATTATAGTCAGGAGCAAGTGGAAGGAACATAGGCCTTCTTCTCTCCATCAGGCCTGCTCAAGGTGTTGACCTTGGCCATATCAATGTCATAGAGCTTCTTTACAGCTTGTTTGATTTGATGATTGTTGGCCTTGACATCCACAATGAACACAAGTGTGTTGTTATCTTCTATCTTCTTCATGGCTGACTCAGTGGTCTGAGGCAACTTGATGATGGCTTAGTAGTCAAGTTTGTTTCTCCTGGGAGCATTCTTCCAGGGGTATTAGGGCTACCCTCAGAGTCTCAGCGTCTTAGGGGGTCAGAAGATGGGTGACGTGTGGATCTTCCTTTTATTGTGGCTGTGGATGTCCATCAGAACTACTTCCTTGGCCTTTAACATTTGGCTTCAGTTTGGGGAGGGGCAGGGACTTCCTGTGTCACTTCTGGCACTACCTTCTTAGAAAGACTGTCTATGTTTCTTTCTTGAAGTAGCTGGAGGATCAGAACTTCTGACCTTTCAGTTAGGAGCATAACATGTAAAACTCCGCATCACAAGTGACATATATAATTAAAAGTCTCTATGTTTTACAAATGTGAATATGACAATTAATAAAATATCAAAATGAGCTTTTATAGAGTCTTGAGATATAGTTTATTGTTGACCTGAATATCCTGAAAGACAAGCTCATCCTTTTACAGTAACAAATAAACATCCATCTTCTTTCTCTATGATGCTTTTAACATAGAAGACAATTTATTTCTGAGACAGTAATTTGGCATTTAAAATATCTGCTATGAATCACTGCTGTAATTGATAAAATCACAAGCCATTCATATCCTCAAGGATTGGTGTTATACATAGAAATCTATACAATCTGTATACATTCATGGATCAGAACTTTACTTTGTAAATGTGTCATCATAAGGAATAATAATTGTTTTATAATAAAAAGACATCATTTTAATAGAATAACCAAATCATTATTGGCACCACCAAAAGTTTGGGAAGCTTCTGCACATAATGCCTGGGTTTTGTTGGTTTTTTGTTTTTTGGGTTTTTTTTATGATCTGCACAATTAGCCCAGTAAGTCAATGACCTTGGCGTCTTCAGATATGCTACTTTATTGGAATACTACAGTCAGGAGCACTGTGGATCCGTGCTTCTCAATCTTGGTATGTACGAATACACTCGGGAACTTTGTGGAAATTGGAAATAGCATCTCTAACTCACATGGAGTCTGAGATTTTGATTTCTAAAGTCACTACATGCTGAGTATATTGCTGATTTGAAAGTGCTTCTTTGAAAGGGAGGGACCTTGACCACGGACATCACATAATTTCAACTGTCAAGTATTCTCCTTTCATACTTGACTAATTTTGAGGGATACTCTTGTTGAAGAGCAGTTAGCTCTGAATATTCTGACTGTACCTTGCTTGGGTTTGTCTCGCATGGGAGTCATGTAACCCTCTTCATCCAGCTCTCCTCGTGGGCTCCGTTCCGGGGCAAATGCAGTAGGGTCTGCACTGTACCTCTGTGTGCTGCTCTCCTCTTGGACGTGGGGTGCCACAGGCTTACGCAGGGTACCATTGCAGCAGGTGTCATCAAAGATCTCGGCTGTAGCACCCTGAGTCACTGGAACTTCAGGGATGGTGCTGGTTGTGGCTCTGTAGGGAACAGGCACCCCGTGTTCTGGAGCAAAGCCTCCATCTCTGTATACAAACTGGTTCTGTAAACAACAGAAACATATTGCAGCTGTGGTTAGGAACAAATGTGAAAGATATATACTAATAATCAAAGTGAGACAAAAGTTTATCTTTCAAAGAAAATTCACCATCTTTTACTGATTTTTTTTCCCCTCCAATGTCTAATGAATTCAGATATAGAATGGAGACACCTAATAATGAGCCTTGGTAAATGATACGTTAGTAGTTTGAAGCAAACAACCACTCGATGAGAGAAAGATGGATGTCTCCTCCTATAAACATCTACAATTCCAAAAACTGATCGAGGGTCACTATGTGTTGGAAATTACTCAGTAGTAGTTGAAAGGCCACCCGGGAGCTGGACAACATTCCATGTTGACTGTACCTCCTGCGAGACATTCCAATCTGTCTGGTGTAAGATGGTATGGCCACCCAGAAGAGAGCACGACCACCAACCACATCTTGCTTTACCATCAGCAATCACATAATTCACCTAAAGGGACTGAACTCCATATTTGGGAACCCAATCAGTGTCCTCCATGGAGCTGACCACCGAGCTAACTACCCAAACTCCTACCTATACAATTTGACCTAATTTTCTCATTTGCTACTTCCCCCTCCCACTGCCTCTCTCTGGCCTGGGATCACAGAAATTTCACCCGAGAACTGATGATAAACTTCTTTGTTTCACTTCACCTTGTTCTCTGTGCTTATAAACTTAGAATAGTTGGATAGATAGATGTTTACATATTGAAAATAAATTTACTCAACAACTAAAAGATGGTCTAATTAAGTCTTTGAAGTTCTTTCCCAACAATTGTCTGCTTGCCACATAAAATTTAAAGTATGTTTTAACAAAAAATGGCAGCTCCTTTAGTTTAAAATAACCTTCATTAAGAACAGAAGTAGAATGAATGACACACTTTGAATTCTGAGATCTTCATTCTATGCTTACTATGATTTTTGAATCCCAAGTAACTAACTAGAGAATCAACACTGAGATTCTCCACCAGCGGAGAATGGAATGCAGATCATTTCTCTCCCAGAAACATAATTTGTGAGTTTGGTAAATCTTTCCATAAAAGTGAAAGCTACTGCTGATGCACGCTGTCTCAATTTTGGTTTTTATCTACTGAGAAAAACACACACACACACACATACACACAAAGGGAGCTAAATAGTCTTGAAACAAATTCTAAACTCACTGTTGGCAAAAAAGGAAAATGAAGAAATTATGAAGAAACAAGAGAGGAAACATGGCAAGCAAAGATCAAAACAACTAAGAGATGAGTGTTGATTGTGAAATACTTACTCCTGACATAGGGGTGTAGGCAGGAGGAGGGCTGTGTCCAATTTCACTCTAATAGGAAAGAAAATGGAATGATGGATATAAGAGGTCACATGAATGAACCAAAAAGGAAAAAAAAAAGGGTAAAATAAAGAAAGGAAAGAAAAAGAAAAGCCATATGAGTTGTATGAACAAAGCGGAAGCATGCACAACAGTGAAGTTTGCTAAACAGTAAAATTTTCTGCACTCTGACTACAAGAAAAGTTGTTTCAGAAAAAAGAAAAACTTTCATTCAATATCTGCAAAGGAAAATGTCAAAGAAGCAGTAAAAAATATCAATAAACAAATTATAAGCTAGAATTTTTTTCATTATCTCTTGGAGAAAGAAAGGAACAAGGTTATTTTTATATATCAAATTACAGAGATGGTCATAGACCACAGTGTTAACTTCTCTATTGTGAAAAAGAAACTCATCTAGAAGGAGGGAGATACAGATTTCAGTTTTGCTGGAATAATTTTTACTGCCAGGTGACATTTATTTTTTTTTTTACCATTTCTAAGTAATATTAACTTTTTAGTATCTCCTTAAGAAAAAAAAAATTAGTTAAACTCATTACCGCCAACTTGGAACCAACCCATAGTATACCCTCCAGTAGGTTTTCAGAGGCTGTAAACCAGAAGACAAGCGATTGGCTATCTACCTCCTGCAGAGCTGCTGGTGGATTTGAACCGGCAAAGAGGCACTACATTTGGATTAGCAGTGCCACTCCCTACAGACTACTCCAGCACAGCTCCCTCAATAAAACAAAAAATGTATCTCTTCTGGCTTATCATTTCTTTTCATAAATTAAGAAAAAGCAGGAATCTTGGGAAATCAGTTTATTTCCTAGAAACATGCTTTCTATTTCTTTAGAAACAAGATAAAGCAGGTTTTAATATAATTTTTCTCATTGTGCTTCTACTTTATTCTTTTTTATTCTGATTTATTTACAAAGTTTGAATACAATGTTTTTCACAAAAGGTCCTTCCCATTTATTTCACCCCACCCACCCATCAAATTGTGCAACACCCTGTAAATCAAATTGATTAAGACCCTCCCCCATCCACAACCCTCTATTTCCACCATCTGCCCTGTTTTGGATCCTCATACTCATTCTATAATAATGGTTTTATACAGTATTTGTCCTTTTTGGATTGAGTTAGCTCACTCAGCATAATGCTCAGTATAATAATTTTTAAAAATAAAAGAACAAAGCCAGGCTTATCTATAGTCTTATAGTATAATAATGCAATGTACAGACCAAGCAAGTAAATATAATAAACTATTATGGGCAGTGCCATTGATGAAGGGGCTTGAGTTGTGTAAATGGTTAACATACTGGGCTGTGAAGCAAAAGACTGAAGGTTCAAGACAACCCAGAGGTGCTTTAAAGAAATGCCTGGAGATCCACATCTGAAAGATCAGCCACTGAAAACCCTGTGGAAGGTTTACTGTGGCTCACTGGGTCACCAGGAGTCAGAACTGAATTGACAGTGGCTTGATCAAGAATGTTGTTGTTGTTGATTGCCTTTGAGTCGAGCACGACTCACAGCGACCCTATGAACAAAAGCCCTGAAGCCCCTCTACAACCATCGACATTTATCAAAGTTCATAGAGTTTCCGGAGGCACGTTATTTAGGAAGTGGATGCCACTCCTGCTACCTTCTTCTTGATCAAGACTATAATTGGCTTATATATTAAATAGCAAAGTATTCCAAAATATTTGTAATTACCAGGATGCTTTACATCTGCAGTAGCTGCTGAAGTAGGTGATACTAGATTAGAATCAGAGTTGAAGGACCAGCATTGACTGCTGCACGTCTTGTGTTTTATAAAACTTGAGAGGGAACTGATCAAACCTTATTATCTACATTTATCATCATGGCGTTAACTCCTTCATTTGTAAGGACACTGTATTTAAGTAACTAGACCCTCTTGTAGTTGGTGTGTTTTAAGCCATCAAGTAAGACCATACTGTATTAGAATGCAGTTCTTGCCTCTGTTTTGACAAGTCTTTCATTCAGCCCACATCCTGCCAACTCTGTATCTGGACCTATTGCCAAATGGCATCAGAGTACCCAGAGAGTTATAATGTTTGCTCCGTTTTCAGCATTAAAATAGAATAAAAGCTAAGCAAAGGCTCCATAGCATTCATTGTTTTAGGGTTACTGGCTGCTTTTTCGATTTTTGTGCTTCCTTTTCCCCCCTTCTGCTTTTTATCTGTTTTCCATGATAAAAAGCATCTCTTTCATCGCCCCCCCCCCCTTTGAAGGGCAATGTAGCTCCAAGAGAACAGCTGTGAGGCCAATTAGCTGGGCTAGGAATGCGATATAATTGTTGTTTAAATATATTTAAATTGCATGTTAATCACTATGTCATAATTTATAGGCTTTGAAAATAACATTTTGTACTTGAGAGCCAAGCCAGATTTTACTTGTTGTTTTTGGCTGTTTTTAGTTTCAATCGAGCTCTTCTCATACCCACCTCCCCCAAACCCCCTCCACTTAAAGGGCTGAACTTTTAATATTGGGAAGAATGACAGCTGCAAGGAAATTGGTGAGTGGAAATGAAGATCCTCACAGCAGTGGGAATGAGTGGGAGTGACCTGAGAGTTCTAAGCGGAACAAAGCAGTGCTCTCAGTCAAAAGGCGCTTGTGTTCACTGTGCCACTTTCGGCTGCCCATCACCACCCAGCTTTGCAGATCTTTAGGCAGCAGCCCTCGGTGCATCTGTTAAATTAGCCGGTGAAGGGCTTTGCTGTCAGCAGGATGGAGACAGAACGAGGCGGGTTAGGAGCTGACAGGCTACGAGAAGTTGGTTCTTGGTGGGAGGATTTGGAAGGGTGGTAGATATTACACGGCCATGTCACTCGGACATCGCATGATTAACTGGGACTCAAGTGCCAGAGGTTATAGAGAGGACCAAGTGTCAGTAAATATATCAAAGATAGTGTTAAATGCTCTTTAAAATACATCATGCACTGAAATTAATCTTCTTAATTGAACGATACATTATTGAGCCTTTGTCTTATAACATGGACATTTCTCATATTTACATGATCTGATAGCAGTCCCAAATAGTTTAACATTGCCAACCAGATGGATTGTGTCCTGTGACATTGTTATCATGCAACTAACTTCTTTGTAAGCAAACAGAAATACACTCCTAATACTCACCATCTATCTAAATGGGACATGTACTTAATAAGAGAGAACTGCAGTTATCTTCATAGTTGTTGATATCAATACTGTCTATAGGATTAAAGTTGTAGAATCAAGAAACAATCTAACCCTGCTTAACTAAAATAGACTCTTTCTGTAAGATACTGCTAATCCATCAGTACTAATTTATTTATAGACACTTTCACATAGTAACTATTAGGGGTTCTCAACATTTTATCTTCTCTAGCACACAAGCTCAACATTTTTTACATTTTCACAGGCTGAGAGCTATAAAGATAGAAAATTCTGCATTATTTTAAAGTATTAATGAGTAGGTTGTAACTTTGTACATTTATCACAATTAAACACAATGGTGTTTTTTTGATAGGTTTAGAAAGTATTTTTTAATAGAGCAAATAAAACTAGATAGATAGTTGGATGTATCTAGGGGCAGGGGAAGCCCGTAGAGATTTAGGAGATAGATAGATAGATAGATAGATAGATAGATAGATAGATAGATAGATA